GTTTCCATTTTACTTACCATGTGGAGTTATTATTTCCTTGTTCTTACCATTGGAGTGCTTGAAGACAACACTTCTGCTTATCTCCTTCCTGAGATGCAGATTTGTTTTCCATTAGCTGGCCTGGCTGTGTGATAAGCCAGCTGAAATCATACTTGAGCTCTTATCTTTAGACCCTGGACACAGACTTCCTAAAGAGATCGATCTTTCTTACTAAGCCATCCAGCATTGAAGACAAGGGGAAAATGTTAGTACCTTTATATGGAAACTGAAAAATGCAATTCCTTATTTGTCTCCTGGAATTTCAGCAATAATGGTTATGGGGAAATTCGAGTAATCAAAATGCTGGACTTTGGATTGTCCCTAGAGCTACTTGAATATACAGAGAGAAACATACAGACTGTTCATGTTGGAGTTTCATACAACGGAAGCTCTTAGAGAGCTGGGAGTAGTTACCAGGGAACCCCACCCTGACCCCACCCCACCCATCCGCCAGCCACCCCAAAGAAGCCAGCCTCTTAAAGGTAGCTCTAGAAGCAAGAGTGTTAGGAATCTGGCAGCCACCCAGGACTTTTGAGGGGATATTCTTCAACTTCATTCATTCAACAAATACTGAGTACCTACTAGATACCATGCACTCTGCTGTGTACTGGGGAGACAATGGTGAATGAAATTCCCATAGTCTCTGCCTTCAAAGATCTCAGAGTTTACTGGAGAATAAAGACAATTAAGTAAGAAGTTGTACTACAGTGACAAGAGCTATTAGCGGGAAAGTAATGACTGCTATTGAAGGCTTCCCAGAGGAAATGACTTCTAAGCTAATACAGAAGCAATCTTCTGCTCCAGGGGATACGGGACTTCTGTTCTGGGACTGCAAAGCAGATGCCTCAGGAGAAGGTAACCAATGGCCCCAACAGCCACTCCCCACACTGTAGCTGTCCCCATGGGTGCAGGAGCCCCATGTTCCCAGTACTCCCGATTGAGGACTCAGAACACATCCTCTTCCTGGAGCAGTGGGGAAATAGAGTGTTTTGATGCTATGGTATCATGAATATGGGCCTATGGTCCTGCTCCATAATGAATAAGGTGGCCTTTGGGGGATAGCCTGGAGCACCAGGCATCATAATGGTCCACAGCAATCTCAGAATTCAGTAGGAACCAACCTGGAGAGAATGAGACCAGGTTTTTAGAACTATATAGATGACATATGGGACAGCAATGCAAATGACCAAAATTTGACAACACACTTTGAGGATATAGAGCCTTTTTTAATAGTAAAGTTTATGGACATTCATGGAGACAGTCACACACAGGAGCTGTAACTCAGCAAGCTTATAGATAGAAGTACAGCCTCTTAGATCTTCTCTTCTTCCTGACCATAGGGGATCCTCTGGCTACCTGCCAACCTGCTCACCAAGGACCAATAACCCATGCAACACAGCTCAGTTACTCCTGAGTATACTCTGAGACCGGATGGAGCTTATGTCTGTCTACCAGGAGCATTTCTGTGCGGGCCTGGCTGTTAGGCCTGTACAATGTCTGTTTCTGCAGGAACTAACAGTAGAATTTGAGCTTCTGGAGGGATCTCTGGTCTATAGTAACATAGCATAGTAATTTCCTGCCCAATTCAGTCCAGCATCAGCATCAAGGGTCTTTTGTGGTGGGCTGGGGTGCAGCAACAGGACATACTATTCAGCAGACCATTTGTGGCAAACAGAACTCCCAAGAACTCCACGCATAATTCCCGACAAGTGAGGTCCCAGCTAGCAGTTGGGGGTCAAAGAGCAGGACCCAACCTAGAAGGTAGGGACTTCAGGAGTGTCACATGGGATTAGGGTCCCAGATAAAGTAGATGGGGTTCCAGATATGGCTGTGGGAGGAAAAAATGTGTGAGGCAAATAACATGTGCATCCAAGCCCTCTACTCCATTCTGGGTGCTTTTCTGCCCTTTAACCGCCTCCCCTGAAATCCCAAGAATATCCTTGGGATTCATCTATAACAACAGTTCTCAAAGTATGGTCCATGGACCCCGGAGGGTCTGCAAGGCTCTTTCAAGATATCTAAGAAATCAAAACAATATTCTTTTTTTTTTTATAAATTTTTTTTCAATGTTTATTTATTTTTGGGACAGAGAGAGACAGAGCATGAACGGGGGAGGGGCAGAGAGAGAGGGAGACACAGAATCGGAAACAGGCTCCAGGCTCTGAGCCATCAGCCCAGAGCCTGATGCGGGGCTCGAACTCACGGACCGCGAGATCGTGACCTGGTTGAAGTCGGACGCTTAACCGACTGCGCCACCCAGGCGCCCCCAAAACAATATTCTTAATAAAGCAGAGATGTTATTTGCCTTTTCCACTGTGCTGACATTTGCTGTCATGTTGGCATTAGGTTAACTGGCACCTTACACATCAAAGCAGGAATATAAACTATACTGGCAAATGATTTTACAGAACTTTGTAAATTATTTCACAGATTTTGTAAATTATTTGACGAAAATCCCAGTTTTAAGAATGTCTTTGATGAAGCAATAAGCAATTTGAATTATATTAAATCTTGACCCTCGTTATACACCTTTTTAACATTCTATGTAACAAAATGGAAGTACGCATACAGCACTTCTGTACCCTGACGTGCAACAGTTGTCTCAAGGAAAAGCGTGCGTGCGTTTGTTTGAATTACCAAGTGGGCCAGTTGCTTTTTCTTGGAACACCATTTTTATTTCAAAGAACAGCTTGTGTCCACCGTGTGAGCCTGACAGCTTCCCAATCCACCTACAGGCTCTCCTGATGAATCGGTGCCAATATTAATGAATGTGATCTTTTGAGATTGTATGATGCAATGTGTCAACATTTGGAAGAGCGGCATAACTCATTGAACAGATATTTTCCAGATAAAGTGTGTGATGTATCAAGTCATGCATGGGGAAACATCCTACCTGTAGATAGATAGATCTATGGATTTTTAAGGTAAAAAGTTCATTGACATGGTTTCAGATTCCACGCTGAAATTACCTTTAAGAAACTACCACCTGTTTAGTATTGGTGTGGCATCAAAGAAGAATATCTACAATGATCTGAAAAGGCTCTTAAAATGTTTCTCCCTTTTCCAAATACCTATCTGTGTGAAGCTGAATTTTTTTTCTTCATAGGGGCTTTAACCAAAACAATGTATCACAATACATTAGATGCAGAAACAGATATGAAAATCCAGATGTCTTCAATTAAGCTACACATTCAAGAAAGTTGCAGATCTAGGGGTGCCTGGGTGGCTCAGTCAGTTAAGCGTCAGACTGCAGCTCAGGTCGTGATCACATGGCTCATGAGTTCGAGCCCCACGTCAGGTTCTGTGCTGACAGCTCAGAGCCTGGAGTCTGCTTTGAATTCTGTGTCTCCTTCTCTCTCTGCCCCTCCCCTGCTTGTGCTCTCTCTCTCTCTCTCAAAAATAAATAAACATTTTATAGGGCGACTGGGTGGTTCAGTCAGTTAAGTGTCTGACTTTGGCTCAGGTCATGATCCCACAGCTCGTGGGTTCGAGCCCCATGTCAGGCTCTGTGCTGACAGCTCAGAGCCTGGAGCCTGCTTTGGATTCTGTGTCTCCCTTGCCCTCTGCCCCTCCTCCACTCATGCTCTGTCTGTCTCTCCTTCACAAATAAATAAACATTAAAAAATTAAATTAGAAAATAAATAAATGAACATTTAAAAAAAATTTTTAAAGAAATACACAAATCTATTAAACAATGCTACTCTTCTAACTTTTTTGTTTTTGAAAATTTGGTTGTTTTTCATTAATGTTATTTATGTTAGCCTATAGTGGATTTATGATTTTTAATGAATTAATATATTTTTAAATGTTCTTATTTTCATTTCTAATAAGTTAAAAACAAAAGCTCATTGGGGTCCTCAATAATTTTTAGGAGCGTAAAAAGGTCTTAAGCCCAAAAAGTTTGAGAACCGCTGGCCCATAACATTAGCTGCAGTTGGTAAGGACTCACTCGTGAAATAAATGCCTAGACAATGTGTCTCAGCAGCATGAGAAGAAAGGACACACTGAAGCTGCTCTTGACCAGGAATCTCTTACTCTCTGAATGTTTCTAACTCTGTTTTCTCATCAAAAGATAACCTGTCCTGAGTGTCAGGTCCCTAGCAGACAGGCTGCTCCACATAATACATGAATTAAGTGTAAAGTATCAAATTTAACATTTCCAGTATTTACTGAGCACATACTAGATGCACCAGGCATCATGCCGGAAGTGAGAATATAGTGATTAATAATACGTGGACCCTGGCCGCCAGGAGATTACAATGTGTTAAGGGATATGGTTCAGAGAGAAAAAGAACTCTAACGATGAGATAAGAAAATAACAGGCGATATTTAGACGCTTAAAGGAGACCTTTAATGCCTTAAAACAAGAGTGAGTCCAGTGAGGTTGCTCACCAGCAGAGGAGCAAGTTTGGGTCAGGAGTCCCTCTTTGGAGTCCCTAAAACCATCCCAACTGTGGGAATTCACTAATACCTATCTTATCTTCTTTAGGCCAATGAACTTCCGGCAGAACTAACCAAAAACGAACGTATCCTGCGTCTCCTCCGAAGTAAAGAAGGACACAGGAAGAGCTAACTTAGTTCCATATTTGACTGAAAGATAGAAACCGTAATCACATTGTCCGAAAAGAAGTCACTTTTCAAATAGTGTTGGAAATTCCATTAAGAAAGGAAATGCTCAGAATGCCCTCCCTGGGTCCCTGACCAAGGAGAGCTGGGCTCTGTGCCCTGAGTCAAGAACAGAAAGGCTCAGGGACCCCTTGCCCTCACTTATGTGGGCTTCTCACACTGGCCTGCACCCCCACTGCTGTGGGGCCTGGCAGATTCGTGGATTCCACAGAAACTTGTTTTACACTACACTAAGTCGGGTCTCTCAGTAAACTCTAAGACTTAAACCCTTGACAAGGTTTAAGCAAGATGACAAAAGCCTTTAAAATACTGAAAGTCTGATCTTCAGTGAATCAAAGCACTTTTACTTTTGCATTAAATGTCAGTGTGCAAAAAGATACAGCTCCCTCATGTTTTACACATACATGTATGTCATGCCAGCGTAAAATGTTTTCTTCTCCCCAAAGGTTGTAGCCACGTTTATTCTGAATCAACGAAGTGTAAATTCACATTAAAAAGCCACTTCTGACATTCCACCGTGTGATTTTCAAAGGTGGACTGTTGAACTATAAAAAAGACAAATTGTTGATTTGTGAGTTGATCCTCGTCTTATTCCAAACACGTAAAAAATCATTTTTACCAAGAATCAATATTGAGGTACGGTGGGAAGCAAGTGGCAATTTGGGGAATGCAGAAAATTACAAGCCATGGGAAATTGAGGCTTGTCTCTTTGAGCTTTTATTTTGGTTCTCTCGTTGGGAATCCGCTTCCCATGCCATAACTAAGTAGACTTCCTATGCTGTGCAATCCTGAGCTCCCAGCACCACATTGCTTGACACAATGACTTTGAGGTCCTTGGATGAAATGTGATATATGCAAGTACAATACGTTTCTATTATATTGCAGGAGTATAAGTAATAAAAGACTGTTATTAGTATTTAATAGGTGTTCATCTATGCATGTTCTTGAGCTGATTGATTCCAAGAAAGAGTCCTGAGTTTTATTGAATTATTCCTTGGAGGGGAATCAAAATTTACGTACAGTGCACTTTATAATCAATGGTGTCTAAATGCCTCAGTCAGTGCCTAATTGCACACGCTAAAATTAAACCGTCTTTCCATAATAAACCGTCTTTACCATAATAAACACTGATGGCATTTCTGGTATTTAAATACATCTTTAGTTTTCTTTTCATTTTCTGCTCTGGTTTCCAGGCAATGTTCTGGATGTTAAAGACATGTTAACGTGGAAGAAAATGTAATCCCCACTGTTTTTTTTAACTAACTTGCAGGGGTCCTGAAAGCATTATCCTTAAGCCAGTCAATGATCAAATATAATTTTTGAAATTAGAAGATACTCTCTTAAGGTTTGTTATGATTGATAAAATAATCAATCAACAGAAATCAGCTTATTTTAATCAATGTCACAAACAAAGGCTGTAATGAGTCACCCACAGAGTCCCCAGGGATGCCTATAGCCTGACTAGCTATGCAACAACTCAACAATCTAATTTCGGGATAAAAATTTAGAAAGATCTGTCTGTATTGCTAAAACACCCAGATATAAACCCTTTAGTAACTATAAAGCAGTGCCAATTTCCTCACTGACTTTCTTTTACTTAGCAAAGTACTAAGTACAAATGCACACTTTCCCCCATGGGAATTTCAGAAAGCTATGTTCATTTTGAAGAGGAAAATAGTGTGGCCTTAAATGCTTTGTATTTTTCCCCTTTTGTTAGCCCTTGGGCCAAAACTGATTGCTGATCACTGACATAAATCAAAACAGTATTGTGGGTACTGATAACAAAGTTCCAAAAGACAAAATGGGATGAAATCATGAACTTCATGTTTTCACTAAGATATGTTGTCCTTGGCCTATGTGTTACATTGTTTTAAGTGGATAATGTTCTTGATCAACATTAGAGCTATAAGAATGAATCCAGTAGCTTTAACAATATTTAATGGATTAAATATTTAACAATATTTAATCTCTTGCTATAGGTAAGAGATCTCAAGCCTAGAAGGATCAGGTTTGGTCTGGATGAGATTATGACATTATCCATAACAGGGAAGATGATTGTATTAACCATGCACCAAAAACTAAAGTCTGTTATTTGAAGTAAAATTGCATTTATTTTGCACACAGGTAGATTTTTTTTTTTTTTGATGATGATGATGATGATTCTTCTTTTATGTTCATCTAATTCACAATTCAATGAGCTCTGCATCCTAAGACAGAACTAGCAATTCCTATGCAAATCATTTGTTGAGTGAGCCACAAAAGTGTTCATTACCTCCATTTGTTTGGTGACATATTCCATGTTATAATTCAAAATAAACTTAATGTACTACCCAGCTTACCTTTGCTGCTCTTTCTTGTTTGTTTTTAATCAGAAGTTGTTTCTATGTGGTTTTTAATAGCATGGAATTTTAGAGTGAATGACTCAGTTTGTTGATAAATATATCGATATTTGAAATCCTGAGTCGATCTTTAAGCTTTACGATTTCATTATTTCAACTGTGGAGAACTTTTGTAATGATCCCATACAGTTTTTCATTCAGACAAAAATTCCTGGGATAGTCACGGAAGATACTGAAAATAAAAACTTTTAATTGTACATTGTGATGATTCGATATCCGTAGACATTGTGGAAGGATTCCCACCATCTAGTTAATTAACACATCTATCACTTCATATATTGATCTCTGTGTGTATATGTGTGTGTGTGTGTCTGTGTGTCTTAATTTCTATTTTTATAGCCCGTGATGCTACCGGCTCATTAGTCCTTTGCAGTGGCTCTTTTATCTGAAATCACTGATGGTTTTGCACAACTCCAAATATTTGCAGCTGTAACATCAGGAACCTGGAGAGCTCCATGACCATTCTGGCTTCCTCCCCTGCTGCACCCACCCTCTGCAACCAAAAGAAAGCTATGTCTCATCATTCTCCCACAGGAGGACACCTCATCAAAGGACAAGGGCACCCACAAATGCCAACTACGTGGAATCCCACAGAGGTGCATTTTGGGGTGGGCCTGCTGCAGATTATAGGGGTAGGAAACTGAGGGCCTAATTTCACACAGTGGTTTTGGTACCACAATTGGCTGAGCCTCCCAGGTAGTGACCAGATGCAGTCTGCAGATCATTAATACTAGCATTGGAAGCAGCAGCTAACATTTGTTGAAGGATTGTTATGTGCTAAGGACTTTACCAAGATAACCTCACGAAGTTTATCTGCATTTTTCTTATTTACCCCTGACAGCAGCTCTATGAAATAGGCATTATCATCATCCACCTGTTGCAGCTGAGGAAACTGGCTTTGGGAGAGAACCTCTGCATAGCTTTGGCTTGGTGCTATTCTCCAGCCTGGGAGTTTTGCTTTCTCTACCAGAGGAAAGCAAGGAGGGTGGTCCAGACGGAGCCACGGTTATAGCATCAAGGCAATGAGGGTTGTGAACACAAGATATATTTTTAAAAATATTTAGAGGTAGAGGGGTGCCTGGCTGGCTTAGTCAGTAGAGCATGAGACTCTTGATCTTGGGGTTGTGAGTTTAAGCCCCATCATGGGTATAGAGATTACTTAATAAAATAAAAATTTTTAATTAAAAAATTTTTTTAATTTAGAGGTAGAGCTAATGATAATTGGTGATTAACTGAACATAGAGAGTGAGGAAAAGAGGGTTACAATTATGCTAAGATGTGTTGGGGGACCCTAAGACGTCCCCCAGGTTGGGTGATTTGCTAGAAAGACTCACTGGGCTCATCATGTGGTCATAGTCATGGCCGAGATTACAGCGAAAGGATATATAACAAAATCAGCAAAGGGGAAGAGAAAGGGAGTGAAGACAGAGGAAACCAGCTGCAAGCTTCCAAGGATCCTCTTCCAGTGGACTCGCACAGGATAAGCTCAAATCCTCTTGCAACGAGATGTGACAACGTTGACAAGTGTTGTCTACTGGGGAAGCTCATTAGAGACTCACGCAGGCTTTTAACTGGGAGCTGGTCACCTAAGTACCCTCTGCCTAACATTTGCCAAAATTTCAGACTTACAGAAGGAAAACGGGCACTCGGAATAAACCACATTGTCATGTACAAACAGTTTCAGCACAGTGAACCACTGTCATTTAGGGAAAGTTTTAGATCAGTGTAGGGAACTATTTGTGAGCTAAGTCCCCAGATACCAGCCAATGGCCAATCTCATAAGCAAAACTTTCCAATTAACTTTCTGTTAATTCTTTTCTGTATCCAAGGTTTACACAGTGGATGGTGACAGTTCCATGTTAGCAAACAGGGAAGAACAACAGCAGAGTTGAAGTGGAGATAGAGCATTTAGACAGGTTCAGTTTGAAGAATGTGTGAAATAGATTCCAGGAGATAGTTGGAAACAGCAGCTTAAGGTTTAGGACAAGACTTACTACTGATTTAGCCATCATGTAAGTAGAAGTGATTGTCAAAATCAGGGGATGAATGAGATCCCCAGGAAGACTCTGGGGAGAGGGGGAAAAAACTGAGAAGGAATTTGGAAGGTAAAAGCGAAGTCGGCAAGGAAGATAAAACGGACAATAGTGGCGAGTGAAACAGAGATCAAGGGAGGAGAAAGTCAAGGGAGGCAAGGAGAGCAGGCATCCATGGACTCTTCCTTTCATGAACTATTTCTCTGTAGCATGGATGCTGTTTATTAGCATTTTACCAACAGAACTTCTTTCAAAATTGGAGTCAATCCTCTCAAACCCTTCTACTGCTTTCTCAATTAAGTTTGTGGAATATTCTAAATCCTTTGTTGTCATTTCAACAGTCTTCACAGCATCTTCACCAGGAATAGTTTCCATCCCGTGAAACCACTTTCTTTGCTCGCCCATCAGAAGCAACTGCTCATCTGTTCAGGTGTTATCATGAGACTTCAGCAGTTCAGTCACATCTTCAGGCTCCACACCTAATTCTAGTTTGCTTGCTATTTCTACCACATCTG